TTGAGCACAAAAACGAAACTTGCAGTGTGCCGAGCAATAATAATTCCCACCATGTTATATGGAAGCGAAACCTGGGTGTCGTACCGCCGACACATGAACGCATTAAACAAGTTGCAACAGAGACACCTTAGACAACTCTTAAGAATCCGGTGGTTCCATCATGTCTCAAACGTATTGGTCCTTGAAAAAGCTAACTGCGAGAGTATTGAAGTCATGATTACAAAGTCTCGCTTAAGATGGGCTGGTCACGTATGCAGAATGCAAGGAAACCGCATACCAAAATCTCTTCTTTACGGTGAGCTTGTGGACGGTAAGAGGAGGTCGGGTGGACGACTCAAAAGGTAAAGAACATTTTCCACAAAAACATAAAGGGGATTAACATGCAGAATGAGTGGGAAGAAGCAGTTCACAATAGAACGCAATGGAGAAGAATTGTAAACTCAACTATTTGTATTGTATTGTATTGTATTGACTAAGAGTGGGTCCCATGGGGGGGACCCTCCACTGAGGCCGCGAGGGCCTATTGCGGCTCAGTTTCTACACGCTCTAATTTACAAGAGCGTCAAAGTTCACCCTCAAGACCCAGCCTCCTAATATAGGCCGTTATGTCTGAGGGCGATATGTCTCCTAGGTCTGATAGGTCTAGCATGGGTTTGCCAAACATCTCAAACCTGGTCCTGCTCCCAGCGGGGCAGTTACACATAACGTGCTTCATTGTTTCGTCATCTTCCATACAGAGTCGGCATTCGGCGTCTTCCACCAGTCCCGTCCTCTGTAGGTGAGTTCTCAGCCGGCAGTGGCCCGTGTACACTGCAGTGAGCACACGCGTTCCATTCCTACCGGCCTTTAGAAGTTCTCCTGTTCTATGTTTGGATGGCCCTGCTAGGATTTTCTTGGCATGTTCCATTCCGGGACTGTCATTCCAGTCCCGGAACGTCGCACTCCTAACCCATTCACAGAGCCTGTCTCTTGCGAGATTTTTAGGAACGCTAAGTGTCGGTTCTGGGCCCACGAATGGCGAGCCTGCACCAATTTTGACGAGGGAATCAGCACGTTCATTTCCCTCTAGGCCGACATGTCCCGGTATCCATATTAGCGACACTTTGTTCCTATCTCCCAGTATATTGAGTAGTTTCTTACATTGAAGAATCGTCATAGACGTGCTTTTCGTTGCCTCGTCAGTTGACGTGCTTCTCGTTGCCTCGTCTCAGAATCGTCATAGAAGTGCTTTCAGCGCGGCTTGACTATCCGAAAATATGCATATTGTTTTCCCGGTGTATTGCTGTTCTACCAGCAATTGCACACAGGTTTCAATAGCATATAGCTCAGCTTGGAAGATCGTGGTGTGTTTTCCAAGACTGTAGTAGATCTCAGTCTTTGGACTGCTGCAGTAAATTCCTGCTCCAGCAACTCAACTAACAGCGACAACCAAACAGTAAAGAGGCATCAGAGCAATGAGATTTTTGAATGTCCGGAGTGCGGAAGAGAGATAACATCACGTATCGGGCTTTTCAGTCACAGAAAAGCTCATGAAAGAGAACGCCTTGCGTAACCATTTTCTGATGCGTGTCAAATACCCATCAGCGAGTAATGGCAGTAGTAGTAGTAATAAAGAATGTGTAAAATAGACCAAAATCATTCACACAACGTTATTTATTTTTAACAAAGTCCATGTATTATAATTTATAATGTTATTCAATTAGGTACTCCAATTGGAAGCTTCAAATACCAGAAAAAAATCATACCAAAAAGAGCGTACCCTTACGAAACGCGATACGTTTAAATCGACTCGATTGGCGAACAAAGAAAACGGTTTGGATGCCAGGACGCGAAAAAACCTCGAAGAAAAAGTAGGTAAAGGTAAAAGAATAGCGTTTAAAAATGAGAGTTGAGGAAGCAGGCGAGACCGAACAGTTAGCTGGTTTCTTTCGCATTAACGTTAAAATGCTGATCGCATTAATAAATTAACTGTACGAGGGTAGATCGTAGATAATGTATAGAGGGTAGAACAAGTGAACTCAGAAATCCGAGATTTAGATGCCTATTCAGCTTCCACTGATAGTAGACCAATTACAGCTTTGACTGTCTTTTTGTCTTTGCTTATCAGGGTTTGGTGAATTTTGGCGAATGTTCTACACTGAACTTTTTCGCCTGTTTCTGCCCTGGTATTTCCAGTTTTCCTAGAGATTTGTTGGCTACCCACCGTTTTGTGGCCATTCTTGTCACTGCTTCTGCAGCGCCGCAGAAGAGTTCTTGGTCGATTAAAATATATCTTTATCTATTTATCTATATATCTTTATTTAAAATTGTTTGTTTTGCTGGTAAAAATGAACTACTTACTCATATTGGAATTTGTGTTGCTTTATATAATTTATGCCAACGAATATGATACTGTTATTCGGTTATTTAACGTAATTTAAAATTTAAATTAACTTTCTTTCCGTCGACGCTTGTGGACTGAACTCGAATTAAAAACAAATAAGTATTTGTTTATAATCGATTTGTGTTTATTAATCGTTAGTTTATGAAATACTATTACCTGTATATTTTATTTGTCTTAAAAAAATGTTTAAAAAAATCGTAATATAATTAAAATAAATTACCTACTATACAGGGTTGTTCACCACATACGACACGGAGTATTGTAGCTAAACGATGAGATTTTTACAAATTGTAAGTTTGGAGTTCGTTGAAGGACTATTAGAGCTACAATTTAAAAATATTTTTACAAGATACAGAGTGTCCCAAATAAATAAAAAATATCAAAGTTGTATTTTTTTAAATGGAACACCCTGTATATTATTACATTTTTAGTTTCTACGATTAAAATAAAGGTAAATTTGATTAAGGTTTATTATACTTAATTCCGACCGTTTTTGAAATATTTTCAATTTTTGTGAAATTGCAGTAAACATTTTAAAGCTTCATTTCTCCAAGGGTATCAATGTTTTTAATACTAAATATTTAATGAAGTTTATTTATTGATCAGTTATTGTGTTGCAATAATAAAAATAATACTACCTTATACAGAGTGTCTAAAAATTTATTTTAAATAATTATTAGCTTCAAACGGCAATAACTTCTTTAATTTAAATGGAATGCCCTGTATATTTTAGAAGAATCAGATGCACAATTAAATTGTCTATCAAATTGTATTATGCCATTTTTTACATATCCCCTCAAGTTTTCGTAGAAAATGCATTTTCTTATAATTTAGACCTCATTTATCAATATATCCATGGAATATTGACATTTTAGATTGTTTTTAAAGCAACAAATGTACAAAATGTACAGACTAGTAATATTATCGTTTTTAGCAAAATGATAATATTACTAGCCCATTTGTATGCAAAAAGAAAACTATTTAAATCTTTATAAAAGAGTGTACTATTAATTAAATATAACACCATTATTTCCGCCCATATACTAATTAATTACATACTTAATTGTGTTCGTTAATAAATTATTATAAATAAATGTGGATTTGAGTCAGAAATCAATATAATAATAAGTTATCAAATTAAAGTCTCTGTTGTTATAAATAAGCATTTATTAAAAAATGAAATATCATTTTTAAGGTGTTACTTTTTATCACACTGTCTAATACTGCCCATACAAAATTCAGTTTTTTTAGTATTTGGAGCAATTATTATTAATCAACGCAAACAGTCAGTTAATGTAGTTTGAATACTAGAATCATATTAATTGGTCCTCTTTAACAAATTTTTAAACAGTTTCTTTATTTTTGCTATGAAAATAAACGAATTATATCGACAATATTAGTATATGTACTCTTTAAAAATTTGGTACATCTTTAAAAATAATCTAAAATGTCAGTATTCCATGGGTATATTGATAAATGAGTTCTAAATTACAAGAAAATGCATTTTCTACGGAAACTTGAATAGATAGGTAAAAATGGTATAATACAATTTAATAGACAATTAAATTGTGCATCTGATTTTCATAAAATATACAGGGTGTTCCCTTTAAATTAAACAAGTTATTGCCGTTTAAAGCTAGTAATTATTTAAAATACATTTTTAGACACTCTGTATAAGGTAGTAAAGTTTTTATTATTGCAACATAATAACTGATCAATAATATAAACTTCAGTAAATATTTAGTATTAAAAACTTTGATACCCTCGGAGAAATGAAGCCTTAAAATTTATACTGCAATTTCACAAAATTGAAAATATTTCAAAAACGGTAAGGTTTAAGTGTAATAAACCTTAATTAAATTTACCTTTATTTTAATCGTAGAAACTAAAAATGTAATAATATACAGGGTGTTCCATTTAAAAAAATACAACTTTGATATTTTTTACTTATTTGGGACACTCTGTATCTTGTAAAATTATTTTTAAATTGTACCTCTAATAGTCCTTCATCGAACCCAAAACTTACAATTTGTAAAAATCTCATCGTTTAGCTACAATACTCCGTGTCGTATGTGGTGAACAATCCTGTATATAATTAATAATAATTTAACAGCCTATTTATCAAGCTAGAACATACAAAATATAGGGTTTTTAGTCATGTTTTAATACGAGTATGTATGTTGTATATGTAATACCGTAATAACTTACTTCATCTAGCTGTTATTAATGAAATATAGTGATAAGCAAATACAAGACCAAGACTCCTTTGGTCTTGCAGTTAATACGCAATGTTGGTCTTGGTCTTGCTGCAAGAGTCTTGCAATTCTTTCATTTTTAATTCTGCTTCCCTACCCAGTTTACAATAGTGCCTGGTAACAGCAAATTGTGTCAAAAAATATAGTTAGTATATAGTGCTTCAATGTGTAATAATGATTTTCATTCAAATTTCAACGAGTACAATCTAAATATTCTCTGACAAATTGTGAGAATTACCACCACACTTGTTAGCCATTTTCGTAAAAAATCAAGCATATTTAAGTATTTTGGAGATCTACAAATTGATCAGTGCATATTCGTTTCATTTGGAATATCTTACTAAACAAAAAATGTTCCTTACGTCTGCTGCAGGTATGTCAAAGGCCTCTCCGATTTTCTCGTACAACTCTCTGACGTTGGAGAAACCAGATACGAAGGCCGTGGGACTGCCGTGGGCCAGCTGGCAGTAAAATTGCAAGGAATTGGCCACGGGCGATACAGGGACCGTCCTGTTGGACACCACGTTGTTGTTCTCCAGCTCGTGGTTGTTGTGGATAGGCGGCGGTACCGCCTTGGAACGGTGCTTTTTGAACATTTTCGAGGTTTTATCTGAAACAAATAAATAGAATGTAGTAGTTTTAAGCTTAAGAGTCCATTTAACTAGTCCGAAAAAGTAGCAAAATTCAAACCTTTCGGTGAGTACGAAGTATACACGAAGCGAGGCTAGTTTCGCGAAACAGTTTCGCGCAGTGACAACCCGGCTTTAGCCTTAGGCAGATTTCTGAAATATTATATATATTTTCTTCGGCTACACACCCGCTCTACCCGACCCCTGAGAGCGACCCGAACAGTTTAAGCAACGTTCTCAAAGACTCTTTGAGAAAAATGGACGCCTTCTTTAAATGAAGGTTAGATTTGCATAAATAAAATATTTCTAACTCTAGTTTAATGACAGTTACTAAATTACTTTAAATTATTTTACCTGTTCCTCATAGATTTCAATAATATGATCAGAAACACAGGGTCCGGCAATAGTGCGTCGGGCATCTGTAGCTCCTAGCATAAAAAAACTTGGGAATTTTGTTTGTTGAAAGTGCAAACCTAAAGTATGTACTAGGATGTATTTCAGGAAAATATTTTAACTTCTATAGGGTGGCTCAAAAAAGTGTGAGTGGATCGGGATGATTTTTTTTAAATGGAACACCCTGTATATTATTGCATTTTTGGCTTCCTTTCAGGTTACTTTACATAAACCTAAGACATAAGCAAATATATTTCGATGATTTCAGAGATATTAATAAATAAATAAAAATTATATATTTTTCAGTGTTCCTTAAAAAAATATTAATAATACAAGAACTGTACCTATAATCAAAACTGTATTAGATATTTACTTTAGATGGTCTGTACTTACTTTGCTATAAATATGGAAATCGTAAATCATACAGGATGTTCAAAATTCTACGACAAACTTTCTAAAATATACAATAACTTTTCTTTGTTTTTTTTAAACGAGACACCCTGTATATTATTTTTTCAATAGATGGAGAATTAAAAAATGAACATTTTTTGTATTTACAGTATTTTAATATTTTTAACGGTTTCGCAGATATTCCCGGTTTTGTATTTCATATGGCATTTCCCACAGTAAATTTTTATCAAAGCCACCCAATGATTTTTCTCTGGTATTTTACCATTGAAAGCGCCATATGAAATAATACTGCGTGTATCCGGAAAACTATTAAAAATTTTGAAATACTATAAATACAAAAATGTTGATTTTTTAATTCTCCATCAAATAAAAAAATAATATACAGGGTGTTCCATTTAAAAAACGAAGTAAAATTATTTTATATTTTTGAAAGTTTGGAGTAAAATATTGAACATCCTGTATGATTTACAATTACCATATTTATAGCAAAGTAAGTTTTGATTTCAGAACAGTTTTTGTATTTTTAATATTTTTTTAAGAAGGATTGAAAAATAAATATTTTTGATTTATTTTTTAATATCTCTGAAACCAATGAAATAGATTTACTCATGTCTTAGGATTATGTAAAGTGATCTAAAAGGAAGCCAAAAATGCAATAATATACAGGGTGTTCCATAAAAAAAGTCATCCAGATCCACTCACACTTTTTTGAGCCACCCTATAGAAGTTAAAATATTTTCCGGAAATACATCCTGGTACATACTTTAGGTTTGCACTTCAACAAAATTCTCAAGTTTTTTGTAGGAGCTACAGATGCCCGACGCACTATTGCCGGACCCTGTATAGTTAATGCAATAATTGTTGACTCACACTGTATATGATTCATAGAAAATACCTAAAAAAAAAAATAAAATTCTTCAATGGTTATACGTAGACTGTTCGTTATTGTTGCAATTTTATATTGTTTAACTTTTCAAATTCCATAAGCACTATGTGGAAATTTGTTATTAAATGCAGCAATAAATGTTGTACGAGTAAATAGTAAATACTATTAAAAATATGTATTTGTGTATTGATATCGGCACGTACTACAGCGCTTATGGATAATAATTATGATACTTAAATGATTTATTTATTGACATTGATATGTAGATAGAGGAATCAAGAGACCTAGAGGAAGACCAAACTTGAGATAGGACCATGATGTTAGGAAATTAGCAGGGATAACTTGGGCCCACATATCAAACAATAGACAACAATGGGCCCAAGTACAAAGGGAGTATCTAAATATGTGAGGGAGGCTACACCATAATTGGAAATGGTTGAATAAGCTGAAACTGATGATGATGTTGATGATGATGAAATAAAACAAGCAAAAATATTTCACGTGTATAAATTTGAAATATTCAAAATAGTGTGGTCATATTAGGGTTACGTTCTTTGAACTAAAGTATTATAAATTAGTAGTGACCTTATTTTCTCCTACTTGTAATGTACAACTGATTGTAGGTATTTATCTAACGATCAGATATTTTTAGTCCAAAACCGTTCAAGAAGAATTTGAAGGCACTAAGTCATCTTTCTAACCAAAAAGGAATCGAAGAAGTGGAGTGGAAGCGTTTCTGAACAAGATTAGAGTGAAAACCAAAAATATTTTCTGATATTGTAAGAGTATAAACTTTGTCGAGAAAAATAAGAATTCGAAAATCCTGTTTTAGAATGGATAAATTATAATAATTAATAAAAGATTTAGTTTTTATAATCTCTCGTATCTATTTCCTACTAATACCAATTAATTTTGATCAATGGTATTAGATATATGACATGGCTCAGTAATTTGTCTATGCTTGTAATCTAATCTTTATAATATATTTGTGCAAGTATTAATAGAAAATGTTCAAATAGATGGCATTGAATTAAAAAACCATTTTAAAATAGTTTAGTTTATCTTCAAATACTATGTCTAGATTTACCTTAATATTTTTTTTATTTTTAATCTAGTTTAAAAACTTTTGGACTGTTTTCTATTGTTGTAGTACCATACATCGAAAGGAAATAAATAAATAATTCATATTTTTTAAAAAATTATTTCATACAATTTTCAAATTACAACTAAAAAAGTGAAATTTCAGAATATAAAATATTTCTAAATTGTTTTCACTTACACAGATATAATAAATTTTGAGAGAATTATAAAAATATATCACGCACTGATAAATTTTTGAAGGAAACATATATTTATCATTTAAACACTAATTATATTAGTAAATACCTGTTTTAAAAGTTTACGTATCTACAGAGAATGTTAGAACTTTTACTTTTAATGGAATGGAATGAAATATGTACAGGGTGGCGCCTCATACGCCGTGGAAGCTCGGTAGTTTATACCGAAATTAAATTTTGGCAGCATATGTAGGTTAACTGAAAGTATTTTATAAAAATATATAGAATTACACAGGGTGTCCCAAAAAAAGTTGTATTTTTTCTAATGGAATACCTTATATATTAATTGATTTTCGGTTTCTAGGAAAAAAATAAAGGTGAGTTTTATTAAAGAAGCATATACCTAAAATCTAAGGATTTTGACATATTTCACATTTTGTGAAAATGAAGAGTAAATTTTAAATTTCGATAACAGCTACCTAAATTTTAGTTGACCTTGTATAGCCTGATATTTAATTACAGTAGCCATTGTATGTTAAACCAAATTAAAGTTTGACCCGAAAAGTTATACAGGGTGAGACAAAATTAATATGGAACATTAGTCACTTTTAAAAGCAAGTTACTCCTTTATTTTAAATGGAATACCCAGTATATTATTCCAGTGTTCAATGGGGAATTTATATATCTTCAAATTATTATTAAGGTTGCCTACCCTCAGACAAAGATTTTCCTAGATATTTTAATTTTTATGATTTTGCGTCAGTAGATCTTTATTATTTGAAAACTTAAATAATTTAACAAAAATTAAAGATTGTAGAGTAAAATACTCCACGATAATAAAAAAATACACGTTTAAAACATATTTGAATTATTACAGAATTAAAACTAGACATAAACCTATAATTATGTAACAAAAATTAGCTAGATGAAATGAAATCAAATGCTCAAAATGCTTCCTTTCCTGTTGACTGCATAAAATGATTGTCTTTTCAAAAGGATCTTTTCATTTTAAAAGGCATATGTGCAGTTCTACCTCAAAAAGCAGCTACAATAATTTCTCTCATGTTGTCGACAATAGTTGGTCGAGTATTGTAACACTGTCTTTAACATATCCCCATATATTAGAATAAAAAAAACAGACTAGATAAAATAAGGAGCATTTAAGTATCATAATACCAATTCTCTCTGATGAAGGATAAGTTTGCATTTTCGGCAAATTTCTGAGAATTGTTTTTGTTTTAACTGACACACTCTTGTTTTAATTAGACAGCTATGTTGAAGCAAGTTGAAGTAACGTCAGATATATCACCAGCCACCTAGATTTTATCAAATAGTAATGAAAATAAATAAGATCTACTCAGATCAAATCATGTAAATGAAAATATCTAGGAAAATCTTTGTTTGAGGAGTAGGCAAGCTTAATAGTATTTTGAAGAGACATGAATTCTCCGTTGAATATCGGAATAATATACTGGGTGTTCCATATAACGCGCGTATGAGAGGCGCCACCCTGTATATTAAAATAATAAAATTTAGGAAATACATATGGTGCAACAAAAAAAAGTAGACAAACAAACTTTTTAAATTAGATTATCCTTTGATTCAAAAGTTAAGAAACATAAATATGCAAATTGACAGCAACTTGCGATGTAACCGTAAATGCCAGAAAGTGGAAAATATTTTATATATTTTTTTTAAAACAAAGTACCTACATCAGAAAATAACTTGAACCACCAAATTAATTTTTGTAGATTAGTAATTGTAATTGTAGATTAGATCTTTTTTACTTATTTTTATCTGCAGAATATGCTAACGATTTTTTTCTGTATATTAATTATTATATTAATATTTAGCTCCTAAAAAACTTTTAATGAACAAAAAATGTATAGTAAAGCCAAACAACAATTTAAAATTTATTTAAATAGTTGACAGTACCCGTGATCATTTACGTGTAAATTTTGTCTCAGAACAACGCAAATAGGGGGCAATAGCACTAAATAATGTCAGCGGTTAT